GGAAAGAGGGAAGAAGGGAGGAAAATCATAGCCTTATTCAAGGCATTTGCATTGCTCCTTTAGGAGTAACAGAGCCAAGGTCACAGCAGATGGACAGCTTACTGTGAGCGGCAGCCCTGTTTATCTCCACGCATGCTCTCTCCCCTGTGGGCTGGGATCAGGGGAGGGAAGGGACACAGTGGCTCCCCCAGCAATGCAGACATCTTCCTTCCTTAGTTAGTGCTTGAGTTCCTGTGGTCCCTCTGCTTCCCAAATGTGCCTCCATGCTGGTCCTGTGCAACTTCCTGCCCCTAAGGGCCACATCTAATCATTTGCCATGTGTCACCCCACTTACAGAGTGGTTCCTCCCAAGGCTACCTCTCTTATACCTGTCCTGAGACTGCATCTTTATCCTTGTGACTGGTCGGTCCTACCGTGTACTTGGTCCTGGACCCTACCTTACTCTCTGCGTAGTAACAAAATTCATTGAAAGTTCTCCGGCAACCTGCTCAGGACCCCTTCTGTCTGTCTCTCAGACAGAAGCTTTCTTTCTCTTAATAAATATATTCTGTTCTTAAAAAGAAAGAAAGAAAGAAAGTTAGTTCTCACCAGCCCCTAGGATTTTCTCATGGGTAGAGAAATCCAAAGTCTCCCAGAGACCATGGATTTCACTACAATAACAGCCTTCCACTTACCCCAGATTCACCCAATTTTCCTTCAATGAACTCCTGAAATGATCACCCAGGCTCAGACCAATCCAGGGCACCCTCTCCTGTAATTAAACCCCCTCCGCATGCCCTGTTATTCTGCAGCACTGACAGTTTCAAAGGCAGATGATGAACAAAGGGAGATCAGGTCAGAGCTGAATCATAGCTATGTGATGTTAGCCAGGACAAAAGAACAGTCAGCACTACCTACCCCACACTGTGACTTTTGGAGACACAGGAAGGATTGCCCCAACTTTCCCCAAATCAAGAGTAATCCAATTAGATACTTGCAGTGAGTTACAGGGACTTTCAAGGTGGTAATGTGATGTGCTGATTATGACCTGTAAAGTTGCAAGCTAAATTCTTAAGATGTAGGAGATTTTTATTTGACAGAAAAATCTTTCATAATTATATAACACATTTTTGTTTTTAAAAGAAAGACAAGCCATTTCAGACTGCTAACAGACTCCAAGGAATCTTTCAAAAATAATGACTAAAAGGCGGTCATATATTTATCTCTTGAAATGTTTTATGACGGAGAAAAATACACACTAGTTTGTTGAAACTCTTATTTTTCAGGCTGTTATTACTAATAGATAATACTTGGACAATAGGGCTGCTACTTGTCTGTAGCCTAAGTGCTAAAAGACTCAGAACATAAGGTTTGTTCTTCCCCGTATAGACCTGGTCAGGATCCCTCCTTAGGGAGGAGAAGGAGTGATCTAGTGGAAACAGACAGCACTATGCTAAGAACAGAAATGGGTTCTGGCAAAGACCCAGCCCGCTTCCCAGAGCAGGCAAATTTCAGGAAAACAGAGGACAACAGAGAGGTACTATTTGTTTCTCATTGCTGAAACAAATGACCAGAAATTTAGTGGCTTGAAACAATACAAATTTATTTTCTCACATTTGTGGAGGTCGGAAGTCCTAAAAGAGCTAAAATCACTAGGCTGAAATCAAGGTGTTGCTAAGGGTGCGTTCCTTTTGGGAGTTTTGTAGAGCATTCACTAGTGTTTTACGGCATTCTTTTGCTCCTGGTCGCCTTCCTTCACAAAGGTAGTGACAGAGATGGAATCTGTCCCATCCTTTATCACCCCGACCCTCATTCTTTTGCTTCCTCTTCTGTTTAAGGATCCATGTGGTGACACAGGGCCCACCTGGATAATTCATGACAATACTCCTACCTCAAAATTAACTTAATTCAATCAGCAATTAATTCTCTCTTGTGTTACCACAGTTATAGGTTCTGGAATTTAGGATTTGGGCATCTTGGGGTCAAATTTTTGTGCCTACCCGAAAAGTTCACTCAGGTTGAGGATGCAGGGATATATACCCTGTATCTCAGCTGACACCTTGGACATTCCTTAGCTTACATGAATTCTCCATTCTGTCTTGGAGGTAGCAGTCATGTGAAGTGTGGCAGTGAGGGTTCACAGTAGCTTCCAGCCCCAAGGGAGGGCATGGAGGTATCATGTCAAAACGGTGATGCATTCATGAAAACCACTGTGGACTCCATGCCTGAAAACTGGAGAGGAGTGTGATGCCTCTAAGGTGTGCATATGGCTCAAGCATGTCCCCAGCGGGTTGGTTCTAGGAACCTTGGTCCTGTATATGGTGGTGCTGAGAGGAAAAGTGGAAACTTGAAGAGATGAGCCCCAAAGGAAAGTCCTCAGGCCAGATGGGGCTCTGCTTTGCGGGGATGAAGATCATTCTCACAGGATCTCTGAGCTTTCAGCAGAGGAAGCCATTCCAAGAGCGAGTCTGACCCCTGAACTAGCTTCCTGTTTTGAGATGAGATCTCTTCCTTCTGTCCACAGTCCACCACCGAGATGTTCACTATTAGGCCCTCACCAGAGGCCAAACCAATGGGCCTGCCTGACCTTGGATGTGTACTTCCAGAACTGTGAGCCAAGTAAATCTCTGTTTATGAAGTTAGCCTGCCCCAGGTATTTTGTTACAGGAACAGAAAATTGCCTGCACTATGCTACACTGCAGAAATCTATCCCAATATAAGTGAGATAAAGTTTCTCTCACTTTATTGACAAGGAATTTGAGGTAAACATTAGGTTATTACAAGAAAATAATGAAAGTTCATATCATCTCTCTGATTTGGTGCTAAGGGTTAGCCATCTACATATGCGTTGGGAAGACAATATTGCACCCACTTGAGTAATGAAAACTTCAGCAGAGGTTACTTTACCTGCAAGAACTGGTACAATGAAAGGTCAGTGGACCCACTGCACGCTCAGCTCCCTGGCTCACCGCCCTCACAGGAGGAGGGTGAGTGCGTCAGTGAGGTGTGCACGGAAATCCAACTCTGGAAGAGGGTGTGTGGCGTTCTACGGAAGTTGTCTCTATGTAGTTATTGTGATACATGTTTTTAAAAAGACATTGAAGTTGGGATGGGGGTGCAGGCCTATAATTCTGGCACTCTGGGTGACCGAGGCAGGAAGATTGCAAGTTTCAACCCAGCCTAGGCAAGTTAGCAACTTAGTAAAACCTTGTCTCAAAATAAGAGTAAGAGAAAAACTAAAACTAAAACTAAAAATGAGTGGGAGTGGAGCTCAGTGTAAAGGTCAGAGGTTCAATCCCCAATATCAGGAAACAAAACAAAGGAAAGAGGGAAGACATTGAACTTTCTTTTTCTTTCCTTCCTTTCCTTTTTTCTTTCAGTCTTTCTCTCTCTCTCTCTCCTTCCTTCTTCTTTCTTCTCTTTCTTCTTTTCCTCCTTCCTCTCCTCCTTCTTTCTCTTTCTTCCCTTTTTAATTTAAAGAGGTCTTGCTATGCTATCCAGGTTGGTCTTGAACTCCTGAGCACTGATGATCCTCCTGTCTTGGTCTCTTGAATGCTGATCTGACAAGAATGTACCACTACACCTGGCTTACCTTTTTTTAAGTCCAATATAAAATGCTAAATATAAATTCTCAGCTCTGTGCTTTGCTCAGACACATGACCAGCAGGGGGCAGCAGCTGGCCGGAAAACTATCTGCTCTTTCTAGCATGGATACCCTGTGCCGGTTGTCCTGGTAACCACCTTTAGTCTCAGTCCTACTACCCATGGCGCCCCCTCCTGGCTTTCCATCATAATCATAATGACCATCATGTCAAGAACTGCACAAATCATTGAAAGGCGGCCATTTGGAAGGAAATGATTGTAGGAGGAAGACACGAGAACTGTAATACTTGAGACCACAGACAGATGTAACTGCACAAGTAAGTCTTAAGAGTAACTTTTAGAGCGACCTGACAAACTGCCAATGGGGACAGTCTTTTCTTTGTGCTGGAAGTATGGTGGGGGCACCCATACTGTGCCCACAGAGGCACAGATTTATTATGGGGTAATTTATTGTGGCCAGTAAGGTTAGTCATTAAAATCTGAATGGTTAATAGAAGTTGGATTTGCATGTGTTAAGTTTCTGTCACTATAACAAAATACCTGAGAAAATACATTTTATTCTGGCTTGTGGTTTTAAGTGCTCTAGTTCATGGTCAAGTGGACACACTGTTTTCAGGCCTCCACTGGGGATGTCGAACGGCAATGATGGGGAGAGTGTGGCACAGCTCACCTCACAGCCACCTCACGTCCAGGAAGCACAGAGAAGAAGAAGAGGCTGGGGTCCCATCTCCCCTTCAAGGCCATAACCCCAGTGACCTAGGACATCCTAATAATCCTAACCGCCAAAGGTCTCCATGACTTTCCAATAATGCCACAATGGAGACCAAGTCTTTAACACAAGGACTGTTGGGGAGACCTTCACAATCCAAATTATAGTCTAAAACAAGTGGGAAAAAATACTAATTATGATATAAGTAATAATATTAACTAATATTTATTGAGTGTTTACTATGCTAATATACTTTATATACATTGTCTGTCTCAATCTGATAAAGAGTTTGGAGGGAAAGGATCATTATACCCTTATTTTACAGACAAAGAATCTGGGGCTGAGAGGTTAAGTTTTTCTGCCTAGGATCACTCAGCTTGCAAGTGCCCAAGCCAAAGACTGGACCCTGGTCTCTCTGGCCCAGCAGTAAGGTGGCCTCTAAGCATCTCTGTCTTCCCCTGCTGGAGCAGCGGAGTTACACTTTCTTACTCCACAATGGTTAGCAGAACAAACTCTGGGAGCACATTCTCCATAGGGTCAGGTGTGGGTCTGGCTATAAAAAGCCCTTGATGCAGTAATGTAGGGAGCCTCTGGACCTCTGGGACTGACAGAGGGGGTCATACAGGGCTCTGCTCATGGAGGAGAGGATGAAGATGTGGACAGGAAGGAAAATGGAGCTGAATAATACTGCCTCATAGAAACCAGTCTGTGACACTTTTCCATTTATATTGTCCATTGACTATTACAATAGAAGCATTTCTTAAAGTTAAAGCTATGCAGAGCAACATTAATTATGGATACAGCTCGTTGAATTTATTCAGTCCCTTTCCAACAATTTGAGGTGATTCTTGTGATCCTGGAGTCTGAACATAGCATTACTATCACATCTTGGACAAAACCAGACCCACTATTGCTACAGGAAGGATGGAGAATGTCACAGGATAGCAGTGGCAGAGACTGAAATCAAATAGCTTACGGTTTTCATAAATAGGACACACATCGCTGATGTTTTTGAACATTTAAAATTCCTTTCACCGTGAAGATGTTGGGCAGCCTGGTGACAGAAACCTGATGTCCTGTCCACCTGCACACTTGGGTCTCTGGGCCATGATTCAGACCATGGCTGTCCATGATTTTCAGGGTGGGCATTTCATATATATATGTACAGACGCACATTCTTAAAGAGTAGGGAGCAAGTGGACTCTTAGAGCCTTGGTCTCATCTCTGCAAGGTGGGACAGACAAGTGCCAAAGATTTTGGGTGCGGATTACAGCAAATCTAACTATGGCACAAGAGACAACCCCAGAAACACACAGAGCTTCCTTTCCTCTTCCTTCTTTTTCTTCTTCTTTTTTTTAATTTTAAGGGAACATTAGTCAATTCATGGTTACTTAAAGCAGTGTAACTAAATTTGGGGGTATTTAATATGTCTATTATCCTTCTTTCCCCTGAAGAGAGGAATCTGGGGAGACGCCTCACCCCTATGATTCTAAGAGAGCTCTTCGCCATCTTCCTGGACATGCAGCCCTGCATTTTAGGAATGCAATATGTTTTCTGTGACAGTGCTGCCTCCCCCACTGAAGACAAAGCCCTGTGACTTGGACATGACGAATGCTGGGGACATCTCTTCCTCTGGGTCCTCCATCTCTGGTTGGCCTTTTTCCTGGGTGCTCGGGTCTGAGTCTGCGTCCCTGCACTGTAGCGCCTGGTGTCTGGTCAGGCCATCGTTGTTTTTCTGGGTCTCCAGGGAGTTTTGATGCGTGGCGTGTCTGTGGGCTGTGGCATTTTTCTGTGGTTCGTCAAAGCTCAGAGAGAAAGTAACCGTGCCACTACCGAAGATGACCTTCTGCTTGCAGCGGGGCTGTGGCTGTGATTGCTGGGGCTGCTGTGGCTGGAGGGGCACAGGATGCTGCTGTGGCTGCTGCTGCTGCTGCTCTTGCCCGGTCAGGGCCACTGGCCACTGTTGCTTCAGCCTCTCGGGCTGTGGGAAGGGATCTTCGCTGTTGCTCTTGCTACTGATAGAGGAGGAAGGGATAGATCCCGTGGAGCCCCCGAGGCTGCTGGACCGCTTACGCGAGACGTTGCTGCGGCGCAGCGTGGCTCGGGCAGCCACTTTGAAAGCGTGAGCGGCGGTGCTGCAGCGCACCTCCTCGATGGTGTTCCGGGAGGGCTTGAAGAGGATGATGTAGACCTTATTGAAGAAGATGCAGGCCAGCAGGCCGAAGCTGGCTGCCAGGATGGCGATCACCTCCACGGCTGAGACGAACTTGCCGTAGGTACTGGCGTAGGCTGGGATGAAGGAGATCCAGACGATGAAGAAGATGAGCATGCTGAAGGTGATGAACTTGGCTTCGTTGAAGTTCTCTGGCAGCTTCCGGGACTTGAAGGCAAAGAAGAAGCAGATGGCAGCCAGCAGGCAGGTGTAGCCGATCAGAAAGCCCAGGGCCATTAGGGAGCCCTCATGGCATGTGATGAAGATGATCTCGTCCTCCAGCTCATGGTTGCGGTAGCTGGACGGGGGCGCGGTGTAGAGCCAGATGGCACAGATGACGATCTGCATGAAGGTGCACAGGAAAACCAACAGGAACTGCAGGTTGAGCCCCCACCACTTGCGGTGGAAGCTGGTGGGGATCTTGGCCTCGAACACCAGCAGGACACGGTTGGTCTTCACCAGGATGCAAGAGATGCAGAGCACGAAGCTGATGCCAAAGGCTGGTTGGCGCAGGCGGCAGGTCCAGTCCTGTGGCTCCCCGATGAAGAACAGGGAGCTGGAGAAACAGCAGAGCAGGGAGAAGAGGAGGAGGTAGGAGAGCTCTCGGTTGGTGGCCTTGACGATGGGGGTGTTGCGGAACTTGATGAAGACACCCAGCACAAAGGCTGTCAGGAAGATGCCCAGCACGGCGAAGAGGGTGAGAGCGATCCCAAAGGGCTCTGTCCATGCCAGAAACTCGATCTCCTTGGCGATGCAGGAAGTGTGGTTCTCATTTGACCAGAAGTCATCTGGGCACTTGTCACAGGCACTTGCATCTATAAAACAACCCAGCAAAGAACCAGTTACTGTGTGGCACAGGCCAACATCTGCGAGTGTGATGCGGTGTTAAGGGCACAGGGTATTGGATGTGATCATTTTCTATTTTCTTTATTGAGGAAATCACCCTGATTTTTACACTATAAAGATATGTACCTTTCATAATTCTATTACACGTTCTATAGCAGGGGCACTTGTTTCTTTAATGTTACCTGCTAAGGGTTTATAGCAGAGACTGCCCTGGATAGCACAGGCCTAGCATGGGCCACTAGACTTATTTCTTGTTTTTTTTTTCCCCTAAAATAAATTTTATTGTGTATATTTGAAGTCTGTGTGATATATACAGACATAAAACAAAATAGCCTAACTGCTTATGTCACATGCGGCCTGATTTATGTGGGATATGTGGATGGATATGTGGATGACAGCAGGCTTTCTCTTAGGTTGAGGCAGAGAATATCCTGCCGTATAATTTGTATTTTCCATACTCTCTCCGTGACCACGGCTTTCTAATGACAGAGGCTGCAGATTCATTCCAGCCACGAATGTTAAGTCTCTGCTGTGTGGCAGCCTCTGTGGTGTTGGAGGCCTAAAAGGATGCAGGTTGGAGATGTGGATGGGACCCTGGCCATACTGTTTACTAGCTGTGTGACTTTGTTAGGCTCATGAAACTCTCTGAGCCTCAGTTTCCTCATCTATAGGATGGAAGTGATGATAGACTCATTGCTGTGGTGACAGTTAAATGGGATAATAATAATTGTAGCTACTATTTATGCCCACAATGCAAATACGAGCTTTATTTAAAAGGCATTTATATAGAATTTACCATGTGCTTTAGTAATATTAATTTGTTTAATTCCCAAAACTCTGTGAGTCAGGTTTAATTATGATCCTCACTTAAAAAGAACTTGAGTGTAGGAAAAACATAAGAGAACAAACACAGTGCCAGGCCTTGTGGGTGACCTGTCACAGCCTATTAGCTTTGGAGCTGGAGCAGATGGCACTTTGTCTACTTAGGGCCATTGAACTCTAAGGAAAGAGAAACAGGGCTGGAGAGCAGTGCCAAAGAGAGAGAAGGCTGCATAACAGGTATATTTGTGAACTCTTTGGCAGTGATGGGCATCTGACAATCCTTTTCTGTGTCCCCTTTTTTGGTGGTTCATCAAAGCTCAGGGAGAAAGTAACTGTGCTACTACAGATGATGACCTTCTGCTTGCAGTGGGGCTGTGGCTGTGATTGCTGGGGCTGCTGTGGTTGGAGGGGCACAGGCTGCTGCTGCTGCTCTTGCCCTGTCAGGGACACTGGCCGCCGTTGAAGAAGAGCTCATCTCAGCTCTTCCGTGGGCTTCTCACCCCAGCTGTTAATGTGGACTGAGCACCTCCCTCCCAACCAGTGGGTGCCACTCACTTACCTGTCTCATCGCTGTACTCCCCGTCGGGACACTCCACACATTCAAAGCAGCAAGTGGGCTCCCCTTCAATGATCCCTTTCCTGGTCCCTGCCAGGCAGTCACGGCTGCAGTTGGAGAAAGGGACCTGGAGGACAGGGTGCACAGAAGTGAGTGGCTGTGGCTGTGGGGTCTGGAGTTCCTCACATAGATCCTTTGGCCACATTCAAGGCAGAGGGAGTTTGGGCACAAGAACTAGTGTGGCAGACATGGGACCTGTTCCAGGGGTCCTTGGTCCTGCTGTCTGCCCTCTGGGTGAGTGTGTACAGATATGCACACACATGCACATGGGCATCTATGGGGTTTCTAAAATGACCGTTAGGAATTTACATCGTGACCAAAATACTGCTTAAATAACTGCCCCTCCTCTCCAGGTCTGAGAAGGAGGCGCCTGTTTATTCTCTGTGGCTGTAAAAGCTTGAGACAAACTAAAGATACAGGGCACAGGGCTGCAGACATTTAGTCACAAGGGGAGATGAGAAGAAATTTGTTTGAAAGTTGGATTCTGAACTTGGCAGTGAATTAAAATTCCACTTTTAATTTTAGGCTTTAGTGATTTCGAAGATCCTTGTGACAGCAAAGTGAGGCAGTCAGGGTAGATGTAGAAGAATCAAAAGTAAATAGACCAGAGAGCTTCACCAGGAAACTATTCATCAAGTGAAACCTACAGGAGCTTCATTAATTTCAGACAACATGGATTTTATTTATTTATATCCTTAATGGGCTTCAGGCACACAGAATTTGATTAGCCAATCATAATCCTTCATCATTACTGCTCCGTGTTAGAATGCATTTTAGTCATTTTTAATATCTATCATTTAGAGCAAAACCTGGAAATGGAGAAGAACATGCATCTAGGTCTGTGCTTTCCTTTACTCCTCCCTCCACTGTGCATTCACTTCTGGGCTGATCACAGTCATCCTGTGCTCATCATGGGCACATTTTCAAGGAAGAGCTCCATCTAGTCTTATTCAAACACCAGAGAATTGGAAAAAGGGGCCCACTTTCTAACTCATTTTTGTGAAACTGATATAGTAATCCTGATACTAAAACCAGACAACAACATTATGAAAAAGAAAGAAAATATATAGGTGCATCTCATGAATGTGGGCTCTTCCACAGCTGGTCCTATCCTAGGGGAAGATTCTTAAATAGCCATATTTGAGAATTTTGTCCACTTTTATCATGCTCCATAATTTTAGAAGTTCTTCTTTTATCTCACTCTTTGATCATTTCAGTTAACCACTTTTTTTGGATGGGAAAATTTTTATTTTTGGTCTGTAAGTGCTAAAGGCCAAGGACTCAAATCCGCCCAGAAAGAAGTGGGAGGGGAGGGAGGTGTCTGTCTTTCTAGGATGGAGCCCAGCAGGCACTGGGAGGGAAGCCCTAGAGGACGCAGATGTTCCCACCACCTGAGATCTCAGTCTGGAATGGGGATGGGGAGCCCCAGCAACAGCAGCAGTGCTGCTTGGCACAGCCTGGGACTATGCAGGAAGAGCTATCCAGGTGGATGGACAGTACCCTACACAATGGGGCCCGCTGTTGGTGCAGAGGTCGTTGGGCGGTTGTCTAGCCTGGACTGGGGTTTTCAAAGTGGGGAATCCTGGAGAACCAAAGAGATACAAGCACAAGCTGGCTTGAGGCATCTGCCATGTCGGCCAAGAGTGAGGAGAAGTGTGCTGCTCTGAAAGCTGTCTGGCTGTCAGAAAGTGGGATGGGACTGTCACCCCCACAGACCTTGGGTCTACCTGGCCCTGTAGATTCTGCTGCTGGCCCTGTTGATTGGTTGGGGCCTGGTTTAAGCCAGCTGGACCTATTCTGAAAAGGCCCTGACACCTGACACCTGGCTTGCATCCCCCTCCTGGAGGCCAGGAAGAGACTGGGGCCTCGTCTAGGCCCCCCACTGGTGTAAGACTAGGGTGGGCAGGTCTGAGTCCAGAGGTCATGAATAGCACAGCTGTGCCCTGGTAGCCTTGCAGCTGAAGGAGTACTGAAAACTCAGGTAACTATTCTAGAATTAACTATTTACTACATAGTAGTCTACATGCTTCAGGAACAATAGACATAAAAGAATGAAACCTGTCTGCAAAAAAGCATATTTCTTAAAGATAGGAAGCAAATATAACTTATCTTTGTAACTCCAGTTATAAAGCCTTAAATAGTACTTAATATCTTGCAAGACTCATATTTTTTCTAAACCATCTCTTTAATAAGTCTCCTTTCTACCTGAAGTCATTTGACAAAATTAAAGTCACAGAAAACGATCAATAAAATGGTCATTGCCAATGCTCCTAGAAGAAAATAAGTAAGTGGTTTGACAAACGAGTTTTTTTTTAAAGAACTTGAACTGAGAGCAATCCATATTCTCTTCTAATGAAAGATGACTAAAAATGGAACTGATGATTAATAAGATTCTTATGATTTGAGAAAGAAGGCAAAGAATGACAGACAATTCACATCATGTGCTTAACTCAAGTGATGAAATGCCCTCAGAGATGTCTTCTTTATCCTTCTCTAGTACCCTTCTGATCATGGAATGAATGCCATGGGTCATGTTTTGCAAACTTATACTAACAGTGTCCTCAAATTTTCCCTGTTAAAAATAGAATAGTGGCTGCCATACTAAAGAAAGCAAAGTAAACACCCTTTCTCTTTGTAGATTTATGAAGTTCTTGCTATTGATTTGCAAGTGTGGAATGTTAATCAGACCGTGCATTGATACTATGCTAGAACTTTTCTCTTTTCCTTGTGGATGTGCTAAGCTGTATTTATGAAGTTTATAATATTTATTCTACTGCAGTTTGTAATATCTTTACATTTCAGTAAATATCCTATCAACTTCTAGGTCATTTTGCATTATGTATTTACCCACTGTTGGTCTAGGTTTATTAATATTTAGGATTTGAACACCTTGTTTAATAAAATTATATATTATTCAGCAAGATTGCTGTATTTGTCTTTTCTTGTTCTATTGATGTCGGCTTGTGGTACTGAGATCTGATTGGCTTCAAAAAGTGAACTTCGGAGCTTTTCCTTTTGTTTCTGTTAAGCTGTGAGTGCCCGCAGTCTCAGAATAATGATGGCTGCAATAAGATTGAAATGTACTTTCTTCTGACATAAATGTCCAGGGACATGGTCTAGGGTTATAGTTCTGTATTTGGCTGGTGTGTTAGGTTTTTGCCTCGTAGTCCTTGTCTGAGTCATTTCCCTGACACCTACAGCTTTAAAGGAGGAGAGGCTTACTTGGAATCACCGTTTTTTGAGGATTTGATCCAATAAATGGATGGCTCTGAGGCAGGACTGACTTAGTGAAAGAGCTGGGTGGAGGAAGGCCAGGAAGCAGAAAGCAGAGGAGCTAGAGATGGAGATGGACTCTCTGAGTGACCTACTAACAGCACGGCTGGCTAAGGGTGCACCAGTGGATTAATTCACTGATGAGTATAGCACTCCATGATCCAGTCACCTTCTAAGGCCTCGCCTCTAAGCAGGAGCCTCGTGGGAGACATTCTGGTTTGAAACTACAATAGTCCGTAAAATAGTGGCACACGGTTTCCAGTGGGGGAGAGAGAAGAAGGGACAAAGGAGAAAACAAAAGATTCTTGTAAGCGCTTTTTGTTTTGGAGACAGGGTCTCACTGTGTGGCTCTGGGTCTCCCTGTGGAGACCTTAACCTGTGGTCCTCCTATCCCAGCCCCAAGGGTGCTGGATCACAGTGTGTACCGCACCATGCCTGGCACAAGCACTTTCTCGAGGGAGTTTCCCAGATGCCATGACACAACACTGCCACTTCTCATTCTTCAGGGTGTAGTTCAGAGCCACATTTAGCGAGACAGCAGGCTGGGAAATGCCATTACTATGACGAGTAGTCATGGATTCAGCTAAAACAGGCTCCATCACTAAAGAAAAATGAAATTGAGCCAGGTGTGGTGGCTCACGCCTGTAATCCCAGCACTCGGGAGGCTGAGGCAGGAGGATCTTTGCAAGTTCGAGATCAGCCTTGGCTACAAAGTGAGCTCAAGGCCAGCCTGAACTGCATAGAGAGACGCTGTCTCAAAAAGACAAAAGAAAAAGAAGAAGAAGAAAAGGAAAATGAAATTACAAGTACAGAAGGGTTTCAGCGGCCCCTTTAACTGTGGCTCTTTTTCTCTTCCTTCCAGTAGTTAAAGAACTCAAGGTCATGAGTTTGTGACTCTCGTTGATCCAAATAGACAGTGAGAGTCACACAAGGTCACACAAGGTCAGCTGTCAATGTCTATACTGTATACTAGCTAATAAAAGCTTAGGAGAAGTCACGTGTGAGTTATCTTACTTCCTCCTCCACCATCTATCAGCTAAAGAGAAATCCTCCATCATGAGAGTGGGCCGAGGCAGCTGCTACCTAAATCCATTACATGAAAGCCATTTAGTATCTCTTAGGCTCCTTGGTGATCCTTAAAGAGGTCTGCCAAGGAAGACCCTCTAAATTCCAACCGCCGAATGAAGATTGAAAAACAAGGATATAAAACCTTGGTTCTTGATCAGTAATGGAAGAGGGCTGGGGGTGTAACTTAGTGGAAAGCTATACGGTTAGTATACATGAAGCCCTGGATTCCATCCTCAACATTGAAAAATAATATAATGTACATAAATACCACTTGACATTTATGTAGTATAATTCAGTATATAACAGGCTTTTATGTCTCTTTTACTTCTTATTTGCTTTTATATCTCTTTTAATTCTCATTTGTTACAACCATACACAGAATTATTGCAGAGCAGTCCAGAGGATGCAGCACTGAGGCCAGAGTTTGGGTCTGGATGTCCACTCTCGCTCCTTACATTGTCCATTCATCAGGCCTAGGAAGTCCCCAACCCTCAGTGTTGTAAACTTCAGATTGAAAGACTGGATAGTTTAAGGATATTTAAAGACCTATCTATGTAGGTCTAAACTGCTGCATTTGTAACTAAATTGAGAACACCAATTAAAATATTGTTAAAGTTTCGATTTAAAATAGCCCCCAAAAGTCTCACGTTATTTGGAAGGTGATTAAATTATGAGAGCACTATGCTCATCAGTGTATTTGTCTAGTGCTGAGTTCATAGCTCACTCCCTGTGAGGAGATGGGTGTTGTTTAGAGGGGGGTCCCTTCAGGAGTGACCTGGAAGGGTGTAATCTTCCCCTCTCCCAGCCATCAGGAGGTGAGCAGCTTTCCTCTGCCGGACATGTCCTGCCATGCCATTTCTGTCTTGGAGCCAGACAACCACGGACTGAACCCACTGAAACTGTGAGCTAAACCCCTCCTTCTTTAAGTTATGGGTGTTAGGTATTTGGTTTCAGCAACAGGAAGATGATTAGTACAGATACACAGTAATGCTAGAAGGCTGGGTGTGTGGTTTAGTGGAGAATTATGTGATTAGTATGTATGGGTCCCTGGATTCCACCCTCAACACTGAAAAAAAGATATAATATAAATAAATACCACTTTATATTTATGTAGTATAATTTGGCTTGTAACTTTTTATGTCATTGCTCTCACTTGATCTCAGTAATAATTTTGTGAAATATGTAGTAAAAATATTAACATTATTTATAGTTAAATGTAGATATTTTTGTGGTAGTTGTTATAAGAAGTTTAGGAAAGAAAGAGTGGATTAGACCATATGATTTGTTGAGTGCATATTGTGGGCTAGCTTTAAGGTAAAGATTCCATGAAAATTATGTTTATAGTCATAATTATTTAGGAAGATCCTAAATAATTAAGTTAATTATTTAGACAAGGGTGCAATCAGTGGGCAGAGTATAAATTCTAAAATCTGAAAAGCTCCATCCGGAGAAGGTCACGACATGTTGTTAACTGAAACTCCATCCTTTGAGTGGAGGACTTGCATTTTGTAGATAGGGTTCACTGCCTAGGAGACCTTCCCAAGTGAACCCCATTCTATCTATTGGAAGATGATGAAATTATAGCATCTCATTATACACCATCAACCCAAGGAGCACTTGATAACAAGATAAAGGCAAGTCTTTGGTCATGGCTAAAAGGTGGTTCAAGATGCTCAAAGACAATAACAGAAAGACAAATGCAAAAGCAAACGTGGTGGATCTCAGCCAGGTTTTCTGGGAGAGTTAAACAGGATGCCCAGTCCAGGGCGTGTATTTTTGGTGAGGAACTAGATCCTCAACATACAGCTACATTCTAGGATGCAGCAATCAGAGAGTCATCAATACAGATATCGCATGTCTTTTGCTTAAATGAATCTTCACTGAGCGAGAGGCTTCTGGTTATCTAGCAGGCATACAGTGACATGCAGGGAAGGAGGCCCTGACCATATTCACAAGTTTCTGTGTCTTTGTTACAGGTCTTTCATTGTAGGAGAATAAATGATTCCTTTGATTTATAGGTTGTTCTGAGCTATGTGGATGATAGAAAACCACTTCTGTGAGGTAGAAACTCACAAAGCTGTGTGCACTGTGGAGAGGGCAACTTTTAATTGACCATGGTATAGCATGCCTTCCTGCACCAGCAGATATAGCACTTCCCACCTCTGTTTTAGACTGGAAGGTCTCCCAGTAACTGTGTTTGGCAACTGGAGTGGGAGGTAAATCTTTGTTCTGTGAGATCATCCCACACATGCTGAAATTTAACATCTCTGCACCCAACATTGTGACACATGAAAAAGCAGCCTCTCATGCTCAGATATGTCCATCTACCCAAGGCAGGTAGGGTGGATGTCTTTGTCCCAGTTGACAGCTGTTGATTTGAGAGATGTTTGCTTGAGTATTTTCCTCTGGCTTAGGAAAAGTTTTAGCCAGGGAAACTATTAGTAGCCAGTCATTCAGATTTTTACAAAGTTAAATTGTTTCAATATGATAAGAAGGCATGGGGCTCCATTTCTGAGGCCTCTCCTTCCTATATGAAACACTGCAGGAGCTTAGAGGAACCCTGGACATGCAGAGTGAGCTAGTTAATTAATGAGTTAAGGAAAGTACTCGCCATTCTGGAAGCTCAGGATGGAGCCCCAGGCTCTCCCAATACCCAGCACAGTCCCGTCTGAGGAGGCAGCATCTAGCATTCTAATAGACAACATGTACCTCCCTGGAGAAGCCGCTCCACAGGATCTTCTTCTCATTGATAAAGAGTCTTTCGCCTTTCTTTGCATAGGCATTATAATTCCCAATTTCCTTAAACATGATGGAGCCATCCTCTGGGGACAGATGCCAATTGATGATGGAATAGTTCCCCACCAGGTCACCACACTCATCAAAAGTTACTTGCTCCCCCATGTTGTTGGTAAAGTTCAGATGCCGAAGGTGCTTCAGGACCTAAAGAGAAAGACAGATGAATGAATACAAGCCACAGAGCTGTTGTATATGGTTATGCAGGTTGTATCGCACAAGGACAGTAAGTTATCTTGTTCTAACAAAGTAGGGGAAACATGACTTGAGGAAAGTGGTACCTTTTCTGATTTCCACTTGCATGGGAACAGGGGAAGGGGAGGAGGGAAGATGGAGTGCTCTTTTTATCTGTACCTTCTTTTCCTTCTGTGGAAATGTCTTGCTGCCAAAAATCACAGAATGGGGTGGAAGGAAGGAAGAGGTGAAATTGTGGATGGATTTGAGGCCATCACAGGTGATAGTCATGGCAAATACCGAATTTACGTAAGACTTCACAGGTCACAAAGCCTTTGCACAAAAAAATAATTACTAATACATGTTTTTGAGGCATGATTCTACGTAATTTGTATTCAACTGTTAATCTAACTTTTACAACAAATAGTATGTCTTTTAGGATGGGGAAGCTGAGGCACAGAATTTGTCACAAACTTTCAGAATCACAAGCCTACTCTGTGTCTCTGTCTGTCCCTTCCTCTCTTCCTTCTTCCTTTTTTTCTTTCTCCCTGTGGTGCTAAGAAGTGAAGCCAGGACCTTTGCACTGAGCTAGATTCCCAGCCCTATTTATGTTGCCACAGGGTTTTGCTAAATTGCACAGGCTGGGCTCCAATTTTGGTTGTTCCCACCTGAGCCTCCCAGATGCTAGGATTATAGGTGTGTCTGCTGAGCGTGAGTTTTTAATTACTATGCTCCGTAGCTGCCTCTTAGGCTCCTGGCTCCCCTTTCTACCGTGCCCCTGATGTCAGTTTTTTGTGGGGGACCTGCTTTGTGACAGGAGGACAGGGTTCGGTCTGACTGGCCTGCAGTGCTCCTCAAGAGTCTCTCCCCCCGACTTGCTTTGTGTAGCAAGGCCGGTGTCACAGTGGCTGCGGGCTCTCTCCCAGCTCCAGCACTGAATTCCCCGTTCAGGCTTTTGGTGGCCTCAGGAGTGTGTAGTTAGAAGCACCGCTCTTTCTATCATTATTTTTAAAGTTCCTTAAAACCACACCTAACCTGACACTGGGGGAAGTTTGGGCCAAGTTCTTCTGAGGCTGGTTGTACTAGGCCTTTCCGAGGTGCAGTCCATGTAATCCACAGTGATCTGATCCTGTAACCAACCACAACAAAGCCAGCAGATGCAGCCAGAGCCCGGAGCACCTTCCATGCTCTGCACCACTCCAGCGATGCCTCTACTTCTAAATAATTACTTACACATTTGATGTATTTTTTTTTCTTTCTTTTTTTTTAATCGGTACCAGGGATCAAACTCATGACCGCCTGCTTGCAAGGCAGGTGCTTATGCCGCTGAGCTAAATCCCCAGCCCCACATTTGATGTATTTTAAAATAAACATCTATTTATAGTAAAGAAAGTAAGAGAAAAGGTGTCACTTTAATTTGTTCTGGGCGGCTGAGATCTGTTTGGAGGTAGAGTCTCTGGCAGAGCCCCATGAGCTCACAGGCACACCCCGAGGTCACTTCTCCTGACCTTCTGTGTGTGGCCCACTTACTCCTGTGAAGTTCTCATTGCCCCACACCCTAGGCCCTGGCTTTGTTCTGGGTCTACGGTGCAGGGAGACCTACATCTTCACACCTAGCTCTGCCACCAAAGCTCTAGAGCCATCCTGAAAAAAGAGGCTGAATCTTACTAAGGTCTTGTGTTCTTCTATGTCTTTAATCTTACTTTTGCTTTCATTTTTACTGGAGCCTCAAAGCAGCCTGCAAGGAGGAGGTATAACATGCGCCCTTTCTTAGGCCTCTTTTCTCCTTCCTACTGTTCTTCACTCTCAGGATGACCTCCTTCGCATCTGTGCCGTGTGTCTATCCCTATCCTACTCCAGCACCTCCCCGTGTGCCCACACCTTTCCTCCCTTCAATGGTTCTGCTTTTGATCCTGTCCCTCTCCTGCAGCCCACAGTACATGGCTCCTCCCACCCACTCTGGGACCTTTCTGACCTGGCCAATCCATCCTTCTCCAGGGAATAATCACACGTCTCTCACTTCCTGGGACCTTCCACGGCTCAGGTGAAACACTCATCAAATTTCTCCAGGTAGTGTCCCGAGGCCTAAATACTTTGATCTCATACATCTGTGATTACCTCTCTGTGTAAATGCTTTATCCTGACCACACCATTTCCACTGTCCTTCCCACATGCTGTGCTAACTCTGCCTTTGCTCCCTGTATGCAAAAAGAGACGAGCAGGGTGGATATGTAAGATCTACCTCTCATACTTCCCAGGTTTCGATAATGCTTTATATACACAACTTCACTTATATTCACGCTAAAACTAGAGCAATTTTATAGATGGAAAAACTGAGATACAGAGAGCTAAAGACTTTGCACTGCTAGTAAGTGCTGGAGCTACAGTTTAGACACAGGACTTCCTGCTACCCCTTCCTGTTTTCTTCAGTGGAAATTGCTCCAAAATCCATGGCAAAGATTTGTCAGAGGCCACTAATAATTTTTCATTACACAAAAATTTTAAAATGAATCAGTCTTATCTGAAGCATATCTGCATATCTGTGATGATTTTAGGTGTCAGTTTGGCTGGATGAGAGGTTATCTAGAAACCTGGTAGTGTATTATTCTGGGTATGTTTCAGAGGAGGTGATTCTGTGAGCCTGAGTGAACTAGGTCCCTGAGGGGAGTGGCTTACTTACTTTTCTGGCTGGCAAGACAAAATACTCAACATCCACAAGTTAAAGGAAGACAGGTTTACTTTGGTTCACAGTTTTTAAAGGTTTCAGTTCATAGCTGGCTGGCTCCAAGGCAAGGTGGCATGGCAGTGGGCATCACAGAGGAGAAACAGCTCATCACCGTGGGGCAGGCAGAAGGCAGCAAGCAGCAATAAGCATCAGCAAGACAAATTTCTCTGTCCCTTTTGTCTTATCTAGGCCACAACCCTTTTGGGTGGTAACACCCACAACAGAGTAGTTCTTCTTTGTTCAGAAAATCCAGTCACACTCAGAACTATGCTAATTTCAATCAGTGGACTAATTTGGTGCCACACACCCTTAATCACAGTATCCTATGCCTTAGATCATCCAACTCTGCAAAGCCCACCTATCAGTGCTTGAGGCTTTGTGGGAACATCTACATACAAGCCATGCATTTCTCCTCTGCCTCCCAAAAGACATTCCTTTATGCAAAGTGCATTAAGTCCATCTCTAAGAGTTTCCAAAGCCCTAACAGTCTCAGCATCAATGAAAAGTCCACATTCAAAGTGTTCTCTGAGATTTAAGGCATACTCTTAGCTGGCAGCCCCTGTACAAAGGAAAAGAAAGTTAAACACTTCCAAGTTACAATGATACAACATAAACAATCCCCATTCCAAAAAGTACAAGTAGGGGGATGGAAAGACCAAAATCTAGAGAGCAAACATTAAATTCTGTAGTTCCATGCCCAGTTTCTAGGGCAACCTGTGGAAAGATATTAACACCAAAGGGCTTGGCTAGCTCTGCCCCTGTGGAACTGTAGTTGAAGTTTTCAAGGCTTGTCTCTTGGGCCAATATTGCTTACTCCTTTCAATTTTCCTCAGATGATCCATGTTTCTGGCTTCTCCACCTCCCTGGAATCTCTACTTCACTTTTCGCTTCACACATATAGCTTCACACATTGCCCTCTCAGGGGTAGGCTGCTTGGCCTCCAAGGCCTTCTTCTGAAATTTGGGTGAAAATCTGATCCTATGACACTTGCATTCTGCATGCATCTAAAGTGTTTGCCATCACTGGAGTAGTAGCCAGGATTCCTTCTTTCTTGGCTGTAGGGGTTGAGTGCCTGAATTGCTGAATACTATGAACCCAATCCTGAGGAAAAACTTCCCTAGACTGCTACCATTCTGGAAAATGGTGTTCTGGGAGTTTTCTTTTAATAAGAAAGTCTTTCATCTTTGCAATTTTCATGCTTCAAAATATGGAGTTCTGCTGGCTGTGTCTTCAGGCCATCCTTTCTATTGTCCTACTCCTTAGCAACCAAGTTGCCCTCAGCTCCATCTTTATAGTCCACAACTGTACTGGCTCTTCCTTTCTGACTAAACTCAAAATGTTTTAAATCATTCTGCTAGATTATTTGCTACTGATTCTCAACATAGATCAGACCATAGATCTGGCCCCAAACAGTAACCATGCCAGTGCCTTAACATTAGACTGCCTTGAAATTTCTTCCACCAGATTAATTAGTCTGCTGTCCTTAACCTTTAGTTTTAGGGAAAGTCTCTGGACAAGAGCAAAATGCAAACAAATTTTCTGCCAAAGCATAACACATATCATCTGGAGTGCAAGAGTCAATGAAGTCTTTTTTTCCCAGCAGAAACCCCTGATCTTGATCTTCACGGGCTGCATTTCTATCAGCATTCTGGTCTTCTGAGCCCTAACTAGAATCTTCTATCAAGCTTAACTTACAGCATTCCACAGCTGATTCTTCAGCTAGCATCTTCAAACCTTTGCAAACTCTCTGAGAAGCCAGTTCCAAAGGCTCTTGAACTACATTGTCAGGCATAGTCATGGCAATGACCCTACTTCTGTTATCAAAATATGTCTTAGTTAATTTGCTCACTGCTGACAAGTCAACACACACACGTGAAAGAAATCAAGGTTTATTTTGGCTCACAGTTTGTAGAGGTTTCAACTCCATAGCTGGCTGGCTCCACAGCAGAATAGCAGGGCAGAAGGGCATCATAGAAGAGAAACAGTTCATGGTATGTCAGGCAGAATGCAGCAAGCAGCCATAAGCAGCAGCAAGCAGCAGCAGCAAGACAAGTTTCTCTCTCCGTTTTATCTCATCCAGGCTAAGAACCTTTTGGGTGGTGCCACCCTCACCCTGGATGATATTTCTTTGTTCAGTAAATCCATTCATCTACATCCAGAATTATGCTAAATCCAATCAGTAGACTAATTTAGTGCTGCACACCCTTAATCCTAATATCACACCCCTTGGATCCAGCTAATTTTGAAA